TCTTCACTACAGTATGGAGATTAAGATAATTTTCCATAATACTCTAAACATTATATTGTTTAACTTTGGTGATTTTTTACAAAACCAAAAATGCACATTTTACACTTCAAAATATTTCAAACTGTCACATTCAGTTTGTTTTTTGAATTTCGCGCAAAGCAGCACAAGGGCTATCTGCGCTAGCCGTCCCTAATTTAGCAGTGTAAGACTAGAGGGAAGGCAGCTAGTCATCACCACCCACCGCCAACTCTTGGGCTACTCTTTTACCAACGAATAGTGGGATAGACCGTCACATTATAACGCCCCCACGGCTGAAGGGCGAGCATGTTTGGTGTGACGGGGATTCGAACCCGCGACCCGCAGCTTGCGAGTCGAGTGCCCTAACCACCTGGCCATGCCGGGCCTATCTCATTCAGAAACACAGTTTCTTCTTTAAGTATTTAACTCCTACGTGGTTGGTAAAAATGTTGAATATTTTCCTCATTAGAGTTTTTTTTAGAAATACGCCACAAACTGTTAACATAAACTCAACTATGTTATTCTTCTCTCTTAAAATAGCGACAACAAAAAATCATTGGATTTTGTGATTCAGTTATTATAATTCGTATCAAGATTATCTGTAATCAAAGCGCTTAAGGACCGTAAATGTGCAATGTTTCTAATCTCGATTGATTAATTGTTTTTAAAGTAGTAAATTTTTAATTGGCTTAAATCTAAATTTATTACAAAATCCACTATTGTTACGCTACGATACTCCGATATTTTTTTTCATGTTAACACTAAAAAAAAAGATCAAACAACTTATTTTAAAAACGAAAAGATGAGAAAATGCAATTGTTTAATAAAGCAACTCGTGTTCTACAAATAAGGTGATTATAGTCTGTAAAATTTTCCGTTTGTAAAACAAATTATTTTAGAGTATGGATAATTTATCAAGATGTTTTAGGGAACCTAATTTAGGCTTTCACGAACGTTTGAACGAATGGACAAAGAGAGAGAAAGGAAAAAAACAAGACTAGTCCTTCGAGAACGTTCTAGTTCTTGAAAGTTGTAGAGTTAAAAAAAAACACCCACGTATTCACTTTCCTTGTACGTCAAGTTCAGACTTTATCACGTTCCGTCGTTTTAGCTCCGAACATAATTTTTCTATACTTGGTAAAATGAACGTCACCATTGAAATCTAAAAGAAGGCCTGTATTCATTGGTTTTAATCACGACGTAGGCTTGGTTAGAGTTTAGCAAAGAAGTCTGCCAACTTCAACAACTTTCTATGGTGTAAAGTAAGAGAAATTATTGTTTAGAGCTATAATTATACCACCACTAGGTGGCTAATCATCAATATGACTAACTAACATACAGGGTTCAACAGTATAGAGAGAGATGTATACATTTCTAAACTTATTTCATATCTTTCTCAAATGAATTGTACAGTACTGTCGTAAGAGAAGACTGAATTTATGTTATCTTACGTGTGTTTTTATGCTATCTTACTTGTGTTTTTAGGTTATCTTACTTGTGTTTTTATGCTATCTTATTTCTGTTTTTAGGTTATCTTACTTGTGTTTTTATGCTATCTTATTTCTGTTTTTAAGTTATCTTACGTGTGTTTTTATGCTATCTTATTTCTGTTTTTAAGTTATCTTACGTGTGTTTTTATGCTATCTTATTTCTGTTTTTAGGTTATCTTACGTGTGTTTTTATGCTATATTATTTCTGTTTTCTTGCTATTTTATTTGTGTTTTTCAGTAAAATGCTAACCACAGAAACCTTTCCAGTGTCGATTTATCAGTTTATCAATGATAAAGATGGTTTACATATTGTATGGTGAACCTATTGCTTATTCTGTAGGGTGTGTAAAATTATATGCACGAATAATGGCTGCTTAGGGTGTGTAAAATTATATGCACGAACAATGGCTGTTTAGGGTGTGTAAAATTATATGCACGAACAATGGCTATTTAGGGTATGTAAAATTATACACATGAACAATGACTAATTAGGGTGTGTAAAATTATACACATGAACAATAAATGATTAGGATGTGTAAAATTATACACACGAACAATGGCTGCTTAAGGTGTGTAAAATTATACACACGAACAATGGCTGTTTAATGTGTATAAAATTATACACACGAACAATGACTGATTAGGATGTGTAAAATTATACACACGAACAATGAATGATTAGGGTGTGTAAAATTATATACGCGAACAATGGCTGCTTAGAATGTGTAAAATTATACACATGAACAATGGCTGCTTAGAATGTGTGAAATTATACACACGAACAATGGCTGTTTAGGGTGTGTAAAATTATACACACGAACAATGGCTATTTAGGGTGTGTAAAATTATACACACGAACAATGGCTGTTTAGGGTGTGTAAAATTATACACACAAACAACGGCTGCTTAGGGTGTGTAAAATTATACACACGAACAATGGCTGTTTAGGGTGTGTAAAATTATACACACGAACAATGTCTGATTAGGGTGTGTAAAATTATACACACGAACAATGGCTGTTTAAGGTGTGTAAAATTATACACACGAACAATGGCTGCTTAGGGTGTGTAAAATTATACACACGAACAATGACTGATTAGGGTGTGTAAAATTATACACACAAACAACGGCTGCTTAGGGTGTGTAAAATTATACACAGGAACAATGTCTGATTAGGGTGTGTAAAATTATACACAGGAACAATGGCTGTTTAAGGTGTGTAAAATTATACACAGGAACAATGTCTGATTAGGGTGTGTAAAATTATACACACGAACAATGTCTGATTAGGGTGTGTAAAAGTCTGGTTGAATTTAATGACCGAAATGTTGCAAGAAGTAATCATAGAAAAAATGTATAAGTACCAATGGAATGGAGAAATATGTCGTACATATCTGAACATATTTCCTAAACTTTATGACGTATAAGAAACGTGTAGTTACTCATTTATTTAATGCTAGTTTTCGAGTTCTAAGAGTGTATATCGCTATTCTGTTTCCTCTCGTCAAGGTGGGGAAGTAAACAGGAACTCATACATATATTTGAGTGCAGAGTAAAAAAAAAAGTAAAGCTTCCTTTCTTGACAACAGTAAACTTACATTAACACAAACATTTTACTGATTTCTTCTTCGTGTTTGAAATTTTACTAATGTGTTTCTTTGTTATTAAAACGCTGCACAATAAGCTATCTTTGGTGTGACAATCGCAGGAATGAAACCACGAATTTTAGAGTTATAAGTTTTTAATCTTACCGCTGAGCTACCGAAAGCTAGGCCTGTTTTTAGAAACATTTACCACAAGGGTATTTTGAAAAGATATTAATTCAAAAATCCGAAAAGACACTAAAAATGTGGTTCTTATTTACAAATATGTATTAATGTATGTTTCATACCTGTCTAAGCTGGTTTAATTCAATTTCTATTCTACAGGTATTAAAAAAGGTTTCATATTTTATTTTGTCTAATCTAATTTAATCAAGTTTCTCTTCTGTTTTTCTGTTGCAATATCGAAAATTCTTGATATTTTTTAATTCACGAAGATAAATCGTTATTGTAAGTAAAACGAAAGTACTGTAACTTTGTTGGCATTGATTACAGTAACTTATTGACGAATGTAGATACATTGTTAGCATTGATTACAGTAATTTATTGACGAATGTATATACATTGTTAGTGTTAGCATTGACCAGCTACATTCGTCGATAAATTACTGTAATCAATGCTAGCAATACATCTACATTCGACAATAAATTACTGTAATCAATGCTAGCAATGTATCTACATTCGACAATAAATTACTGTAATCAATGCGAACAATGTATCTACATTCGACAATAAATTACTGTAATCAATGCTAGCAATGCATCTACATTCGACAGTAAATTACTGTAATCAATGCTAACAATGCATCTACGTTCGACAATAAATTACTGCAATCAATGCTAGCAATGCATCTACATTGGACAATAAATTACTGTAATCAATGCTAGCAATGCATCTACATTGAACAATAAATTACTGTAATCAATGACATCAATGCATCTGCATTCGACAATAAATTACTGTAATCAATGGTAACAATGCATCTACATTCGATAATAAATTACTGTAATCAATGCTAGCAATGCATCTACATTGAACAATAAATTACTGTAATCAATGCTAGCAATGCATCTACATTGAACAATAAATTATTGTAATCAATGACATCAATG